ATATTCATTGTAAATGGCCCTTTAGTCCAAGGCTCAAATCGTACATGTTACTCTCATTTCCTTAAAAACAAATATTTTTATGGGTAATTAATAACCAAAATGTATAGTAAAACCTTAATATTATGCAACGAATAATGTTGCAAGAACTTAATTTGAAATGGTTAGAACCTAATCTCTACAATTTACTGATAATTACTTATACGATGGATAATCTACTACATTAAAATTTGTTATATAGTTAGGATGCTGTGTATTGTTACTTGAAATTGAAATTCAATCATTTTTTTTTATTTACGGAATGTTTAGGATTACATCGATTATCTTTGCTGAATTTAGATTCAATTTACAATATCAAGAATTCACCTCAATTTACTCAATACGTACCATTAATTGGAAGAAACCGAAACCGGGTGGGTCCCAATCTCCGGCAATGACTTTTAAGTACTTGTATTGTGGATAATCCATTATATTAAGGACTTAACTATGTTACCCAAATTTTGAATTTTGATATAATATCAAAATTTATTATATTTGTGATAATTTTTATCATATTTATGAATATTTTTATCACTATTGTGGTACCTAAAAAAATGATAAAAATAGTTAGTACAACAGTTATAAAAACGTCCACAAATATGATAAAACCCACTTTTTGTTATAAATCTTTTTGAAAAATGGTAAAAATAGTTATACAAATATGATAAAAACATCTATAATAGTGGTAAAAACACCACAAAAGTGGTAAATCAAACAAAAATGGTAAATTTTTTGACTATAATATGACCCATAAAAGTTATAAATATGTTTTTTGAAGTAGTAAATTTTTGACCAAAACCAAAAAAAAGAAAGTAATAAATTTTGGAAATATGGTACAATTTTTTTTACTGTACCATAATCAAGTCCTTATATTAAAGTTTTTATAGCCCTAGCTAGTAGAGGAAAATATTTGCCATATTGAAGACGGTGACATTAGCGAAATTTATAATTCTTTTTTATTGTTTAATGGTTAGGAGTATTTAGTCGAGTTTATATGCATTTTGAATAATTTTTTTCTTGATTTAATTAAATACAGATCATCCACACCGAGACTAAAGTATTCATGAAGGATAAATTTCTCATTATATGACTCCAATGAGTTGTCAAGATTTATACTCAAGACATTTAAATTTATAACTCGTTTTTGTTATCACTTGAAATTTATAAAATAGAAAAATTTATAATTTTTGAGATGAAGTTATAATTTTTGATGTGTAAATTATAATTCAAAAAACAAAAAATTGATCGATCATGAAAATTATAATTTTTAAAAGTCAAGTTACAGCGCGCAAAAAAATATTTCATGATTAATTATAAAATATCATAATTAATTGCAACCTTTTTTTTTAAAGTAATAATTTTTTGTACATTACCAATTTTATTTTTTTACTTTTCTTGTAACATTGAAGTACCCCACTAGCACATGATGATGACTCATCTAAAACAGGAAAAAAAGGGGAAGGAATCATACTTGTTAGGTAAGATTATTAGGTAAGAGCGTGGTAAACTCAATTTTTTATTTTAACTACTCAAAATATATTTAAATATTATATTTTTTAATCATAATCTCTATTTTAATTAATTATTTCACTTAACTTCAACTAATTTTGAAGAGTCATTTGAGTGAAATGGAAAATAGAGAATGCATTAAAGAGTTTTTTTTTTTAATGTTTGGTTGGATAAAATAGGTAGAATAGTTTCTTATGTTTTTTAGTACATAACATATGCTACTATATAGACTTTCTGAAGAAGGTAAAAAAAGAAAACATGTGGAATGATACTGTTCATTCATCGATATCCTTTCGTACAGACAAATTTTTTTGAGCAACACTGCGTTTACTAAATATTTTTATCAAATTTCTTAGACTAAATGATGTGGCCTAATTTCTATCAGTCCATATTAATGAAACCTATATTTATCTGGTTATAAAAATCGTGTCATGTCATGTCATTTGAAATGTGAAATTTAATAAAAATATTGGATAAGCATAAGGTTTCTTTAGTTAAGAAATGTGCTCATAGACGTTATCCAGCTAGGCTTCTACATTCTCTATATCCATCAGTTTTCAAAACCTGCAAGAATTGTTTTTTCCTGGGAATATTATTATTATTTTATAGTGTTATGACTTAATTTAGCACGAGATTACTATGAAATTGTGTTGTTTGTGATTAGTCGAAACTTTTAACATCAATTATATATATATATTTATTTTTTCTTTTGAGTCATCACTTTGACTCCAAAAAAAATTGAGTTTTTTTAGTTATAACTTTCTCTCAAATTGTTTGTGAGTACTAACATGTATTTACATTAATTAATTAAGAACCAACAAAGACTAAACTCATCATCTTTTTTGAAAACTTTTTCTCTTTCCTGTTGTACAAAACCTCTCTAACCTCAAATTTCCATCACAGAAGCACCCTTGCTCATTAATTCCAATGGATAATTCAAGTGGTATACAGACAAATTGTAAACTCAAATATACTTTGTTTGAATTTTAACAATTCTTTAAAGACATATCATGAAAAATTTATCTTTCATAAATATTTTAATTCTAAAATAAATAATCTATACTTAACTAAATCAAGAAAAATATTAATTAAAGGGCATGCAAGCTGGTCAAACAGTCTAACCGTTGAAAAAAAGAAAACGAAGCACCCTCGGTTAGAACCTGTTCCAACTTCCAAAGCAGAACTGCACACAAAAAAATAAATTCTAAATTCACTGACAATGAGGAGAGAGGTGGTCTGGGCCTTGGTACAGACTGAATAGCAAATATTTACTTATTTGGTTGGAAAACCGTAACCACCGGCGTAGCCATGGGACTCGGGTCCACCTTGGATTTATATATATATATATCTTAATTGATTTTTAAATATATTTTCATGTCACCATCCTACCATTTTTTTATCTTATCAATTAGAATGATTTCTACGTAAACGACTAGAAACTTTCAAACACAAACTTTGAACACCTTAATTATGAACATTAGGCAACTTGTTTATTTTATAAATTGGAAGTTATGAAAATTATGAAGGCTTGGTTGCTTAATCAAATGATTTGCTTCATAATTTGTATAAAAGATGTTTTTTATTGCGTTGATAGTGAAATTATAAACTAACGCTTAATTTTTGAAAGCTTGTCAGAGTCAATTATAAATGATTATTGATGATACCTCAAATATGTTTAAAGATAAGCTTGATAATTCAGATTGTGTTTTCTTAGATCGGGAGCCCAGCTCGCTTTGGATGCCCTTGGAACTAGAGGTCGGACCTCCTATCCCTACAACTGCGTCTTGAGGATGATAACACGGAAGACAATTAGCTTCCACTCAAATACCACCTAAATAGTAATGATCGTATATCTAGGCAAAAGGATTGCAACTACCCCAACACCCTCCACAACCGTTGCAGAATAATAACAACCGTTATAAAGAAGAGCAAAGATCTTGCCAAACATCAAGCAAAACTCAAGATCAACTATAAATAAGGGGCATAACCCCAAGCAATAGATATAAGCAATTGTAATCAGAATCACTCTCTGTAATTTTATTTCTTATTAATATAAGCCCCAGAAGCAAAAAAATTCCTTTAAGAGTGAATTAGCCGAACTCTTGAACTGATGAACCACTTATAAACTCTGTGTGTTAAACCCTTTTCCCTGATCTAAATTCTAAAGAGTCTAGGAGCTTAAACTGAATAAAGCAGTACCAATTAATTTCTTACGTTTGCTCACTACAGTGCTACATACATCATCAATTATAATTAGCATTATTTTTTGTTAAGGGTTCTAACTAATTTTTTTTGGTTTATTTATGATATGCAAATCGTTTAATATGTTTGTATTTAATGAATATTTAAATATCAAATATAATAAAATATATTCAAAAATATTATACTTCTATGATTGGCTAGAATAAAATTAAAGTTTTTAGTTAGGATACTGACTGACACTGAACAAAATTTCTTACTTCGACCATAAGTGATTTTAAAGAAATACAACTCATTTTTATTTATTTGAACTTAGTAGATTCCAATAAATATTGAGACTCACACTGAAATCAATAACAATGATTGATTAAGTCTAAAATTTAAAGCCACATAACATTGCTCTTTAGAGTGAAATAACATTATAAATATGAATAATGAAATATCTATACAATAAAATACAAAGATTGAAGATATCAAAAATAATTTTTACTTTTTGTGGTTGAGATCGTTTTAAATTTTATTTTAAAGTTAATCCGACGACTAATATTAATTCTCTAAATTTAATAGAAAAAATATGTCTCCTAAAGGTATGTTTGAAATGATTTTTTAAAAGTGGCTTTAGAACTTATGACTTCTCCTAAAAAATTTTAAAAAAATAATTAGTGTTTTGAACTACTTATTTTAGTTATTTCAAAATAAGTCAAAAATAGTCTTATCACTTAAATAAATAAGGAAGTAAAAAATTTAAAATAAAATAACTTTTACTTTTTTAAAATCACTTCACCACCACAACCGTCGTCGTCACCCCATCACTACCATCGTTACCATTACCCCACCACCACCACTACCCCCCCCCCACCATCGCCACCACCACCACCATCACCACCCACCATTGCCATTGACACTATCCACTGTTGATTGCTATCACTGTCTTCCACTATGGTTTATATTACTATTTAATCTTTTAATCATGATAATTCATTTAAATTTTGACTTATAACTTTTTAACTGTGATTACTCATTAAAATTTTAATATTTAACCTTTTAATTATAATAATTCATTTTAATTTTAATTTTTTAACAACATTAACTCAACTCATACATATTATAAAAAAAACTTGCATTGTATGGGGCATGACTAATTAGTCTAATAAATCCAAGTTTTCTCCCATCTCCCTGCCCTATAAATACCCTCCATCCGTCAGTACTCTCTTTGTAATCCACTACAAGACTCCTCTCTCTCTCTCTCTCTCACCATGGCTATGTTGTGCACCGCAACACTCAGCAGTTCTGTTTTACCAAAGAGTCCACCGGCTCATTTAGGTTCCTTACAGAGACGAAGCCAATTCATTACTGGCCCTATTGGAGGAGTCCCAAATCTGAACAATACAAGGAAGGGTTCGTCTTCGCCTCCTTCTTTTACCATCAGATGTTTGAAAGGTGTTGCTGCCCCTACACCCGATATTCTTAGTCGCATTTTTAATGGAGGAGTTACCCCAACCCCCGTTCCAGACCCAACAGCCGTTACAAGACAAGACTTCCCTCCTGATTTCATTTTTGGCTGCGCCACTTCTGCTCTGCAGGTCTCTCTCTCTATATATATATGAAAAATTCTATGCATACCAAAACTTTTATCAAAAAATATTTTTATCAAATGAGTTGAGAGTTCTAGATCACTTTTGGATCCATAAAATGTTGATCAAAATATTTTTGATTGGAATACTAGTTTTGGCAAACATAACATTGTCTTATATATATACTAGTCAAAACTTGTATCTGAAGACACGATAAGATAAAAAATTCGAGCCCTAAAAAATTAATCTCACTATATTAAAATTAAATTATAATTTTTATTTCTTTCATTTTTTGATTGCATCATTCAAAATTTATTTTTATCCATTATTTTTTAAAAAAATATTGATAAAATTTTCTTAAAATACATAATTCGATAAATTTTTTCAATATATGTATACTGTATGGATAATATCTGAAAAAAATATATTAAATTATAAATTAATTAAATATTATATAAATGAACATGTGATAAAAAAGAGTAATATGATAATTTTGAAAAAAAAAAATATATGGGAGATTAAATTCAACTTTTTAATTATTTTATTATATAGATATATTATGTGTCCATATTGGTCCTTCTCGTGGGTGTATTGTTTTTTTTTTTTTTGGTCAGTGATGTGGATGTATTGTGATGTTATATTTATTTGGACTTTGGTGCAGACGGAATCATCAGCAACAGAAGGAGGGAGAGGACCCAGCACCTGGGATTCTATGCTAGAAGGAGAAGATGCAGTCGACTCATACTTCCTATACCCAGTAAATGATATCCAAAACTATAGTCTTACTTGATCAAGATCACGTCATACATAATTCTTTAAAGGGCAAATTTCAGTTTATTCCCTTTTGGTTTGGTTTTAGAGCACATTACCTCCTTAACTTTTAAAAATAAGCACTCAACCTCCTTGTGAATTTGGACTAATCTGCTACTGTTACATTTTCTGTTAAAATTAACTGTGTACGTTACACCCGCCTAAATAACGGGTTGAATGGAAAATCAAGTATTTTCCTCCTAAATGAATGTGGTTAAAGGACTATAATACCCTTTTTTTTTTTTTTTAATCTTCTCTTCCTCTCTCTGGTTGGTTTGCAGTCCCCATTATGTGGGTGTCCAAGTTGTTGACACCCTTGCATACAAAATTGCTCCGGTCCTTTCCCCCTATGCACCCTTTTCTCTATTTTTCTCTTTCATTTTCCTTTTTTATTCCTCACAGGTACAAAAAATCTTAAACTGCTACACCTTCTCTTTCTCTCGCACGCGAAACACACAAATCGATTTCTCCTCAACCATAGATGATTCTTCAGCGAGTTTTGATTTCTGGTCTTTCTGAATATTAGTTTTAATATTCTGATTTTTTCAATCTGCTTTAACCTTTGATTTTGATTTTGAAATTAATTTTGAGTTTGATACAATTTCTGAATTTTATTTTGATTATCTCTCTCTCTCTCTCTCTCTCCTGTGGCTGAAGGTTGGTTGAATTTGTTGGTAATGAATTGGGCTGAAGTTTTGGTGATGAATCAGGTTACATTTGTTAGGTTAATGAATTGGGTTGAGTTTGATGTTTTTTACTGTGATGAATTGAGTGATGAAGTGAGTTGAAGGATTGGGTTGCACTGGGTTGTTTTCCAGTAGGAGTGGCGGTGAGCAGTGGGCTGGATTGGTGCGCAGTGGGTGATGGTGGAAGAAGTAGTGTGGTTCACTGGGTGGGAATGTAAACAAGGAAAGAGTCAGATATAACATAATGTAGATGATAAGGGCATTAAGGTCTTTCTGTCACTTCCATTAACGCTGTTAATAGTTCATCTTAGTCCAAATACATAGGGGGGGTTGAGTGCTTATTTTTAAACGTTAAGGGGGTGATGTGCTCTAAGGAAAAATTACAAGGAGGTAAACTGAAGTTTGCCCTTCTTTAAAACCAGAAGAAAATTTAAGAATTAGAGTGACTTTAATAATGTTTTTGTTTTTATAAAAAAATATAATTAATTTTTATTTTGTTGTAATAAAAATTAAAAATATAAAATATATTTGGTAGTTATTTATGTTTAAAAAATTATAAAAGTAAAAATAAAAAACATGTTTAATATTTTACTCAAAACTTACCACCCAACACCAACTAAACCCATCACCAATAACCACCAAAACAAACCACCCAAGACTACTTAAACCCACCACCCAACTCCACTTCAAAACCCACCTCCCCATCGAAACCCACTAGCCAACACCACCTAAACCCACCACTCAATCCCACCTCCAAACCTACCACCAACCCCACCGAAACCCACCACCAATAACCACCAAAACCCACCACCCAACCCCACTGCAAAGAGGGAGACAGAAATTTGAGGTTTCTATGTATGCCCCAAAAAAAATATCTTTTACTTGCTGCTAAATGGACTTGAAAGTTGGACCTAAATAAAGTGCTTCTAGCGTCTCGAAGATTGGAAGTCATTAAAATCATTCCAGAGCCTCCCTCGTGTTTTCATTTTAAATATTTTAAAAGTTTCTATATTTTAGATATTTTTAAAACATAGTAGTAAAAAAAAATTAAAATCATTTACCAAATGGATTGAGTAATCTATAATTTTGTATGCATTGTGCAACAGGAAGATGTGAAACAGCTTGTGCAAATGGGAGCTGATGTTTACAGGTTATCCATCTCTTGGACTAGGATCCTCCCTGGTATGTTCTTAGCTACCCTTATAAATGATAATATATTTTTAATAAAATTTTTTGGACTTCATATAGTCAATTACTCTGCTGACTTAATTTTATCGTGGTCATTGAATTAATAATGAATCATAACTTGGTTTAGTTTGAATCGGCTTGATTTGATTTACCTTATAATCGAACTCATTTTTTTCCTTTCCTCTTTTTCTTTTTTATTTTTTTGGGGGAGGAGGACGGGAAAGGAGAAGGGGAAGAGGGACTTGAACCCTTTACCTCAAGAAGACAAAATTTTTACAAGACTTAGAATACTATTGGATCAAAAGCCTCTTGGTACTTGAACTCATTATCAGAATACTATTAGACCAAAAGCCTCTTGGTACTTGAACTCATTATCAATCCAAATATCCAATGGAAGTCTAAATTGAATCACTATTATTCCATTCTTCTATTTATACACATGAGTGAATACTATTTGAACTTATAAATTCGACCTAATTTGCTGACATAATGATGTGACTTCAATAGAATCATTGGATCAACACCAAGTTCTAATGTTTGATAGACCCTACAGTTAATTCAAAGTCATAATAAATTAGGTCAGTAAATTAGATTCCAATAACATTGCTCATAGTTAGCATAGATAAAATCAAAGTGACTAAATTTGAAACGCTGAAATTTGGCACTAGTTTCAACCTCGGCTTTTTTATTTTGTATGCCCATGTAAATTTCAATTTGTAGCATGAAACATAATCAATATTTCAAAGTGAATGGAGAGGTGATTAAAAAAAAAAAAAAAAAAAATTCGTAATAACTGGTCACTCATTAGAATTAGATTAAATTTTAAGTTCCAAGAAGTGTTACTTATTTTCACGTTATTCTTTGCATGACCCAATAATCCACACCACCACCATTAGTGTTCCTACTAAAACACCACATATCTCCATTGATTGGTGTTCTTGATGTTGAAAAATTATAGATGGAACAATAGCTGGCGGTATAAACCAAGTGGGTATTGATTTCTACAACGGGTTCATTGATGAACTAGTCAAGAATGGTAAGAAATTATTCATTTAACTTGATTTGAGCTCTTTTAATGAATTGTTCGGACAGAAGGACTATGAAATTTATTCATAGTTTGACCAGTTTCAGCGCATTTTTTATTCTCTCTCATGATGAGCAAAAATTTTAATGCAGGTATAACCCCAGTTGTGACACTTTTCCACTTCGACTTGCCCACAGCATTGCAGACGAAGTATAGGGGGTTCTTGAGCACCCAGATTATGTAAGTGTCTTGTCCACATTTACATTTTTAGTTACTATTTCACAAAAATGATATAGAATCTAATTAATTTAGTCTATAAACAATACACTTGTAATAATAAGCACACGATTATTACGCTTTATTCGTACTCTTGACCCTATGTTAAGACCAATGGGAGGGATGGTATTATAATACAGTTCAACCATATTATAGGTGTAATATGAGAATAGAAGAAAAGTATTTAGACTTATATTAATACCAATGGGTTGTATATTTGGTCTGGCAAAAGCTATTTAGACCTAATGTTGCCACCCAATCGAATACAGTTGTTGTGTTAAAAGTGTACTCCATTTAACATTAGAATTCAAAATTAATCCTATTTCCGCATTCAATTAAATCCCTGATTTGATCCTCAAATAAGACCTTTGTAGCAGTGCTCTTTTGGTTCACTTTTACTCCTTTATTTTATCCGTTTATACAAAATTAACTCGAATCACTTGTGCAATCTTTGTTTTTACAATATGGCAACCAAACAATATTTTTTATATAGTACTATAGGTGTGATATAAGATCAGAAGAAAGGAGCAAGCAAAGGAAAAGGCAAAAAAAAAATTCAACAAAACAATAATAAAAAGAAAAAGTGAAACACCAAAAAATAACTACTTTCCAAGTGATACGGTAGTTCTTGATAACCAGATTCCATCAAATTCTCTTATTTTTTAGTACTTTTGATTTCTGAACTTAGAAATGACTTCAAAGACTACGCCAATCTTTGTTTCCAAACATTTGGAGATCGAGTAAAGTATTGGGCTACTGTCAACGAGCCACAAGTGTTTTCACAATATGGATACGCTACAGGGCTGAACCCACCAGATTCAAAACCAGCAACAAATCCATTCGTTGTTGCACATAACATCATACTAGCCCATGCCACAGTTGCTAAACTGTACAAAGACACTTACCAGGTAATTAGTCACATCGCGTATATATATATATATAGATATATGCACATCTCTCTTTTTAAATAGTATAGTTTGTCGATTGAGATACCATTTTCCCATAGCCAACCCAAAAAGGAGAGATTGGTATTCCACTTGTGACTCAATGGTTTGAGGCATACCAACCCGGGCGACCTGATGACGATGCAGCTAGGAGAGCGTTTGACTTCCTCACGGGATGGTTAGTAAAACTGTCTTTTTTTCTTAATTAAGCAATGTAAATTGTGATACCAAATAATGATTAAACTCAAATGATTCAATTTTTAGTACATGTCTTTTCCATCCAAAATTAGGTTTTTGGAGCCCCTGATATATGGCGACTATCCATTCATAATGAAAGCTCTGGTGGGCGATAACCTTCCAACATTTACTGATGACCAGAAAGTTTTAGTTCAAGGATCATATGATTTCATCGGTGTTAATTATTATACTTCTAGCTACGCAAATGCACTTCCATTGCTAGCTCCAGGTGCAACTGTTACTAGCCAAGCTGATTTTCAACGCGTTGACCTCACGCGTAAGTTTTATAGAAAAATTATTTTTTATGCAATTTAGCCACAATTTTTTTCTTATTTGAGATAAAAAAAAAATTTGGAAAAAAAAATGTGTTGTTGACAAACTAGAATTATCTGATCTCACCTTCCTATCTACCATGCTTGTCCCAGCTACGAATAGCCAAGGGGTGCTCATTGGGCCACAGGTAAGATAATTTATTCGCAAGTCATTGTAAACTTTGAGGTATATGACTGATTCTCGACATTTCCACTAATCATAAAGTTGTGGTCTTGGTTAATTCAAATCTAGGCACCGGGGAGTACTTCTATTTATATTTATCCACAAGGGCTAAGGGATGTGCTGATATATATAGCCAGTACTTATGGCAATCCCAAAATCATCATCACTGAGAATGGTTAGTTCAATACATTTACAACTAAGTTATTAAAACCTTGACTATTATCAATTTTCTACTAAGACAATGATGCACTCACTTTTCCCAATAGGATATCCCGAGAAACGAGACGACAGCATTCCAGTAGAGATTGCCATACAGGATAATGGTCGAATTCAACATATGATTGGTCATCTTTACGCAATTTCAGAAGCATTAAAGTAAGTGGAAGTAATTCTTTTTTCTCCTCTATTCCTTCCGATAATCAGCTATGGTTGTCTTAATTGAATGTTTCTATGTGTTTTCTTTGAATGTAGGGCGGGATCAAATGTCAAAGGTTACTTGATGTGGGCTTTGATGGATTGCATGGAAGTGGGATCAGGTTATACAGTTCGATATGGCCTCGCCTACACGGACTACCTGAACAATTACAAGCGAATAGCTAAGAAATCTTCGGGTTGGCTCTATTCTTTCTTGAATGCGCCCGCACTCAAATCCACTCCCGCACCCAAAAAACGGAAAACAATCGGTGTTTGATGCTGAGCTCTATCATTTGATGTCAATGAACTTTGTTTGCCACTATTCATTTACTTATCTCCCATATAAGGGAGAGCGGAGGAGTAGGTGGCATTATCTTTTTCTTCCTAAGGGTATCTGTGCTTTTTCAAGAACAACTATAATACTTGTTATTTCAAGTATTATGCTCTATGTAACAGTTTCAAATAATCGATTGCAGTGGCATTCTAATGTCATCTAATTATGTTTTGAGCAGAGTAAATCAAAATAGATAGTTAAGTCTAGATCAAATATTACTGCTAACAGTGAATTATATTTCAAATTTACTAAATACAATCCATGAGCTTTGAAGTTGTATAATGGTAGAATGATCATCTCATTAACAACTTTCACTAATAATTATGTATGGTTAGTTATCTTCCTGTCACTTTTATAATTTGAATGTAACAGTCTTATTTAACAAGAACTCGAGGTTTATTCATGTAATTTATCTTAATTCATATATCATCCCCTCAAACAACTAAGTTGGCACACGTGAAACGGATATTAAATTGCTATTTCGTTTCCATTAAACTGCGGTTTTATTTAGCTAATTAAGTACAAAAAATAAAGCCATCGATATTATGCAATCAAGCTAAAACCAGATTTTTTTTTTTTTGGTTGGGGGGGGGGGGGGGGGGGGAGGGGAATAAGCCAAAAAATGTGGACCAGACAGCTGAAAATTCATTCACATTCTCTTGAAATCAACATTTATTGGGAAGTAAGGTAGATACACATGTTTGGTTACACACAAGAAAACTCTTTTTAAGTCAAAAAAGAAATTAATTATTTTTATAAAAATCCCAATTATACAAAATCAGTTATTTGACTCGCTGTGAATCTAAAGCATTTGATGCACATAACACACAAATCAATAGATTTTACATAGTAATTTTTTTTATTAAAACATAAGATCAATTAATAAAAAAAATTATGCATTAAAAACATTGGATCAAAAATAAATATTATACTTAATTGAAAATATTACCCCTAACTTTAGGTGGGGATGTAGCAATTCATAAGCAAGATTACAGTAAAAACTAAAAGAAGAGGCTAAAAGATGGATGATCCCCCAATTAGGGTTGATACATATTGTGATAGTCTCCGAGGAAAGTCTAAACTTAGTAAAAGTGAAAGACTGGACTATTGCTGAAAAGATTTGCGTTCGGACGATACGAAAGCGTGTTAGGATGCATATAAGCCATTGTTCACCATTCGTCAACTGTGTCCAAACGCGCGTTTCTTGTGTCGGATGCACAATCTCTCTAGACAGTCCTAAACCGCATCTAAACACCTCTAACATTTTGAGAAGAAGACTTTGTTTCTTTCATTCAAAAGCTTCGAACTCCATCTTTCTTGCATGGCTGCATCCAATTATCATCACTTTGATGTATTTACCTATTAAACAATCAAAAGCTACAAAATAGATATAAAATTCGAAAACTCCTCATTCAAGCACATCTAATCGTAAATATAATGCAATTAACCAAACAATAATTATAATAATTATGCATATTTCAAGACTAAACATTGACCACTATAAAAATAAATATATATTTTATTTTATTTTTATCTGTAAAAAAAATAATTAAATCTTGTAATTAAAGTGCCCACCCAGATCTCAATTTCTGGTTCAGTCCTATCCAATTGAAGGTTACGAAGAAGAAAAAGATGAGAACAAGTAGAATTATTATGATGGATGTGTTTTACCTAAGTTGTGTATCCTATTTTTTTTTTTTTTTTTACAAATATATGATTATGATTGTTTGACCCAATTTAGACACAGATATCTACCAGGTGGAGCAATTAATTTTTTTTTATCAGAGTAGAGCAATTAATTAAGCAACATACTTAATGGATAAATTCAAAAGAGTTTTTGGCCTAACTAACATTTGTTTTAAAACAAATTCCGAAACTAGCACTCTTTCAAAAATAACTCCCTTCATTTTTTGAGAACAAAATCCATCCCTTTGTGCTTCATTGGATGAGGAACTCAAAAGCCTATATTGCATCAAATAGTTACGCAAGAGATAGGAGCCTAAGTTCATTATGTATCAACCCATTGTTCAACCGTTTGAATATTAAAAAAATTGATCTCAATTTATTTGATATTATCCATTTAAACTAACAGATTGTATTCTTCACTATTACAGTTTTCTTCATCGTGGTAGAGAAGATCAAAGAATAGCATCAATTGGATAGAGTTTGTTTTTTTTACCATTACAGTTTTTTTAGAGTAAGTTTTTTGTAAGCAACAACCGTGTTTTTTTGGAGGCTTTGTATTTCAGTTATTCCGAGATTTCGTTTTCTTCGCAATTTTAGTTTTTTTCGAAAAAAACATTTGGAGTTTTTCAAAATTCCAATTTTTTTTAATAAAATGTTTGATTGCCGTCGTCTTCTCTATTCTAGATTTTTTTTCAAATTTGTTTTTGCTTGTTATCGTCTTGTACAATTGTATTTTGGTGTTTTGTGTTCTAGACATTTGTCCAAACTAGATTCTTTTCCAAATTTCTCTTTTTCACAATGTGACAACATATTAAACAATGTGACAAGTTACTCAACAATTGTGAATCTCTATAAAATAATTTGAAAATATACTTAAAAATAATGTGACAAATTATTCAAAAATTATGACTGATTATTGAAAAACTATGTGACAAGTTATTCAAAAAGTGTGGCATGTTACTGAAATACAATGTGAGAATATACTCAAAAGCAATGTGATAGTATATTAAACAATGTGACAAGTTACTCAAAAAATGTGACAATAACAAACTACTAGTTTTGACGATAGAAGCTTCAAACCAGTAGTTCCAGCGATGAAAGTTTCAAACCATTTGGATGCTATGTTTTTTGATCATCTCTACCACGAAGTAGTTTTTTGACACTTAATTACCTAAATTTGCAAGAGATGGAGTACCAAAATTCACTGGGTTTATTTTTCAAATTTCAAAGCAATGAAATCAACGAGATTTCCTGTCTGTTGATGGATTTGGCATTCGCTTTTTGAGGGAGAATAGTGACCGGTTAGTACTAAATTAGGGCTATGATGTTTCAATTTCTTTAACTGGTTTTGAAGGATTTGTAATTGTGCTCAAGGGTACTACCATTATTTTGCCTCAAAGTGGACTTATATCTAATGTATTTGTTTGATTGAATTTTTTCTCAAATAAGTCCTATAGAGGCAAAATATTTGTTATTTTGGATTTGTAGTTATGTCCACACTACAAAAAAAAAAGTTTACGACTTTTTGTGACAAATAGGAAAAAATGTTGCCAAAGGACATTCCACGACCAATATTACATTTTGTTGCCAAAAAACACTCGTCACTGAATGTGGTTACAAGGTGCATATTTTTTAATAACAAACTTAGTTGTTCCAAATCAAATAACATTTTTTAATGATTAATTTAAGGGTGACACTATTCAGCGGTCATATTAGTTCGTAGCTGAAAAATAATAATTTTTTCGCAACAAATTTTTTTATTGTTGATAAAATTATATTGTAAAACCCGCCACTACAAGAAATTGGATATTTAGCTGTAACAATTATTGCATCTAAATGTGTAAAAATTGTCACTATATGTTTTAGTGACAATTTTTTTATTGCCACTAGGTCGCGACAATGTGTTGTGGCTAAATAATTTAGCTACAACATTTTCAATGTTGCCACTAAAAGCAAAATTTTTAGCTGCAACACAAAAAATGTCACTAAATATGAATCAATTAGCAACAATAATTAGTAACAACAATTATTGTAGCAAGTTAATGTAATTTTGCCACTACAATGTACCATGTCGCCACTAAAAATAGGATACAAATCTGACTTTTAGTGGCAACAATTAATTGCCGCTAAAAATTCACTATTTAGTCATTATTAAAATCACCACTAAAAAATATCCGGTTGTTTTGAAAAATGACCAAACATTTTTTTGCAAAGGTGGAACCATTCAATGATTCAAATTCCTAATTTCGGTACATGTTGGAATATGTGCATGTCCTTTTTCCTAGTATTTGAGGGTATATCATTGTTGTTACCACATTCCATCCATGTTATCTAAGGGTGCTAGGAGGGCTGGACTTGCTCACTAGTTATTTCCACAAAGTAACTTCCCTCATATTCAAGCCAACAACCTCAAGACTGTAACTCTATTATCTGTAACCCCAGTGAGTTCCTTCCCAAATCAGTATTGACAATTTACGACATACTCATAGGTAGACACTAAAAAATTAGTTCATTGCTAGGCCCAAATCCAATTAAATAACTTCTTTAAATTAAATTGGGTTAAACTTAAATTTTATAAAGCCCAAAATAATACAAAGTTAAAATGGATTTTCAAAATTAAATTTGTTTAGACCCAAATTCTATAGGGGACCTAAATTTCACAACCCAAATAATACAAATCTAAATTTAATTAGTTAAGCCTGTCAAATTAAATTAATTTGAAACTAAATTTCATAAGTCCAAAAAACATAAATCAATTAAAGTCCATAAAATTAAATGAATATGGGTGACCTATTACTTAAAGCCCACAGAAGGGTATTCAGGTAAAATATTTTTGTATGAATAACTACTCCCAACACTATAAATAGGAATATGCAAAAAAAAGAAAAAAAAGAAAAGAAAAGGAGTAAGGGGGCCAAAGAGGAGGCCAACAAAGAAGAGCAAGAGAAGAGAAGCTAAGGAAAGGATGAGGGAAGATCAAGAAAGTTCTGCCCGAATCCATCTTAGGAGAAGAAAGGAAGTTCAGCAGTGAAGTTCTACTGGAGTTTACCCCTAACTAAAGTCTTGGAAATCCATCTCTAAGGAGAAGAAACATTGCCAATGTCCTTCTTTGAGAAATCTAAATCATGTTCAAGCCATTCAACATAAAGAAAGGTAAGAAGATTCGACAAAGTAAAGTTACAAATTAAAGAACGATATTCACGTCAATTCGATCATCGTTTTCAACAAATTCATCAAATCAAAAATCGAAAAATGAG